AGCAGCAGAGGCTCTGCTGGGATGGAGATCTGAGCAGGCACATCATCTGCAATTCCACTTCTATGTGTGAAATCTGTTCAAAATGCTGTTCTGAAGCTTCCTGAAATCCAGTTCCAGTACATGGTAATAGGGTACAAACAAAACATTGCCATTTGGGCACACCTGCTCTTACTCCCAAACTTTAAATCACAGGGAAGATTCTGTGAGGAAGAAAGTTGACTGTGCATGATGTGTTGGTTGTTAAGCACAAGTGACAGAAAGCTTCCCCAGTTCTTGGGAGACGAGGATGGGGACATGCTTGAGCTGGGTAAAATAGGATYTGTTCTTCCCCTTTGACCCTGAGGAGTTCAAACATTTATTGTCTTAATAGATAAAATGTACTTGGTATGAATTGAGTGATCARTGATTGTAATTCCTGCAGATTATGTACTTGCTCACCCATTTCCTTCCAAAGTGCTTTTCATTCTTTTGTGAGCGACTCCTTCCATCTGCCCTGAGGCAGTAAGGAATAAATAGTCATTAGTATGCTTAYAATGTAGTTATGGTACAAATACTGTCTAGACTTCAAAATCCATGAGTTCATTTGCTCCATGCAGACTTGCTGGTGCTCACTGAAGTAATTTCTGTTGTTGGCTTTCACTTTGGGGTTTTTTCTCAGTGTGGACATGGCCATCCCAGTTCTGCATCATGATCAGAGATCATTTAAATTTCTCATGCAAGAGGCAGTGCACCTAATCAAAATGTATCATTTCACCTCTTGTTATGGGGAGGACTCTCAGTCTGATGCAATCTTATTTTAGAAGGGATTAGTCTGACCTTTGCTACCATTGCTGTATTAATGTAAACACAGAATGCTTAGCTGGGCTATGGGGACCAGCGAGTGCTCRCCATCCACATGAGATTAACTGCCTGGAGCATTTTTCTGGGGCTAAACTGCTCCACCAGACACTCACTAAGCCTTCCTTAGCGTGCAGACTGTGCAACTGCTTTCTCCAAAATAAATGGATAGGATTGGTTGGGTTGTTTTTTTTCTGTTTTTTTTTTTTTTTTTTTTTTTTTTTTTTTTTTTTTTTTTTTTTTTTTACATAGGAATTAATACAGGGATATTAATAAGGTAGAGGAAATTATCGCCTTCCATGTCAGAATAATATTGTGCCATCTCTTCAGTGACTGTGATTTTCTGTTATAATTAAATAATAATAGACAAAATCATCTTTTAATCAGCCCAGGATTTAATGATGTCTGATTAAGAGAGTTGCATTCAGTGTTTGTGCAGAGGCAATATTGAGAGCTCCAAGTGCTTGTGTTTGCCACAGACAGGAAGAATCTGGAGTCAATCCATTGTTAYCCTCACCTGTTCATGTTCTGTGTCACAGTTCTGCACTGAGTTGACACATGYATGTTTAAATTCTGTTATTGGCACTTTTTTTGTCTCCCAAACCCTTTTATCACYGTGGTTTGAGGTGCTCAGTTCAAGCCACCCTTTCCTTGGGCTAAACCAGGGGCCATTTGGGCACAATTTGGCACAGACTGAGCAATCTCACTGCCTTTTTTCCTCTCCTTGCTCTTGAAGATGGGTCCATATATAGGGTTTGTGTGKTTTTTTTAGACAGAGGATTTGGGGAGAACACTGCAGTTCATCCAGGCTGTTCCCCCACCAAGTTTAAAAGAAACTTTAAAAATTACATCCCCACCTCTCACTTTTGATGTTTCTGAACCTGTTGTCTAAGAATCCACATAATTCCTCTCTAAACTCATTTATAGTGTSTGTCTCTACTATTTCCTTATGTCAGCAAATCTCACTTACTTTTGARTTCTCCAACTTTCCCATTTCTTGAGTGCTGACCTTTCTGCTGTGGATGGGATCTTAATTGTCCTGTCAAGCTGGGAGGGAGGAGGAYGTGGGTTGTTCACTGCTGTTGCTTTGGTTTACTTTTGAAATGTGTCCAATATTTTATTTTTGCTAATACAATGGAATAAATGGCCAGGCATCCTTTAGGTATTTCCTCTTTTCTGGGTCTGCTCATCCTCGAGTGTCTGGGGGTTACACACAGGGTTTTTTTCTGGGTTTTTTTCCTTCATATTTTCCTCATTTTCTCTATTTATCTCATGTTCTTGCCTTGAAATCAGTTATTTATGTACAGGATTTAGCTGGTTGTTCCCTCTTGCTGCAACATGAGATGGAATAATATTGAGATGGAATAATATTGAGATGGAATAATATTGGAATGGCTGCTGCAGAGAGGCTTTCTCAGTAAGAGCCCTTGCACAGCATCCTGTGCCACTGAAGGCCAAATTCTGCCTTTCCTGTCCATTTTTGGGACTGTTTTATTGAGGTTCCTGATTTTCCTGTGGAATGAGGGGCAAATTGCAGGTGCCCAAGGCTGTGGCTTTGAGGAGTGCAGTGGGATGGGCTGTTCACAATTTGGAAATGGTTTCAAAGACGTGGCTTTGTGCTGCAAGGAGAATTTATGCTTTCATAAATTAAAACCTTGCAAGGGTTTTTAGAAATTTGCATGAATATCCCTGAAAGTAAAAGGTATTCATGGTGATTCCTCTGCACATTACTGAGGTAGTAAATCTCTAATAAAAGGGTTTATGGGAGGAAATGCAGATATTTTATTATAGTCTATATATATATGTTCCCTGTTCTGTCGTCTTTTTAAATTTGTCTTGCAGAACAACAACTTCATAAATTATTGGAACAGAAACTTGTACGTTTGCCTGGGCTAGGGGGAAAAAAAGTGAACAAAATTGCGTATGCTCCAATGTTTTTTTGTTAATTGAGTGTGAATCTAGAAGTTAATTATGGGGAGCACAGCTTTAGGATGCAGCCTTCTTGCTTGGAGACAGCTCCTCCACACTYTCAAAGCCAATGTGTACCTAATGAAGAGTTTTCTGAACTTACTTTGATGGAACAGTGTTACTGAAAACATTTTCCATCCATCTTAATCACAAAGGTTCAGAGTTATTTGTCATTGCTTGCTGAATTCCTTTGCACTTGGAAATTTCAGACAAAAATAAACTTTTACTCTCGCTACATGGTCATRCATTTGAATATTTTCAAATTGCAGACAGTGAAACTTTGTGTTATGGTGCCTATTTACTTMCCAGCTGCTATTCTTTTTATGAACAAAGCTGCCATTTGCATCCTCCTCATTTATTTTTCAGTTCTAGCATTTTCCTTCCGTGCTGTCTGTCTCTCTCCAGCTCCATAACAGCCTATAAAAATATTACAGTAATTCAAGTTCTTTGGTTCAAGCAAAAATGTGTGCTTTGATCATCATATCAAATGATTAAACTAATGCAACCATAGCCTAAAAGCTTTGATAATTTGTGTTATTCTGAGTGTTTTAGTGGTTGATTTCAAGGTTAACTCTGGAATGGGAATTTAAAAGCTGTGAGGATGCTGTGGTCAGTGCACATTCCCACCCCAGCTGAATTAAACTGAAAAAAACTTTCYCTGTAATTCTAGGATTACATGATTAGTGGTTCCTTTGGTACCCAGTATAAAATGGATAAAATTGAAAATAAAATCAAGATAATGGCTGCTATAAAGACAGCTCTATTGGTGCCTTATGTATTTGAACATGCTCGTGAAATCACTGTTATGGCTGATGTGAGTCGTTACTTAGAAAGAATAGAAAATGGATTTTGTTCCRGGAGCAGCTTCCTTATTTACCAGATTTTTATTTTCTATATGCTCTTTTAAAAGCCATTGTGGCTCAATTTCCTGCCACTGTTTAATCCCATGTAGTCATAGCACAATTTTTTTTTAAATAACAAGAAAATAGAAAAATGAATGGTTCTTTAGAAAATACTTGGGAGAACTTTTGGACAAATTGTTTACCATCAAAAGATAATAAAAACCCCTTAAAAATGGAGTGATTTGCTTTTCCTGGCTGCACATGGGGAAAGGGTCTTGGAATTCTCTGCTTGTTCTTAAAAACACTGATTTGTGACCTGGGCAAGAGGAGACAAAGAATGGAAGATGGACTTGGGTTCCAAAAGGTGCTTTGATTGAAGAGAAAGTGCTTATCAAATARTTCTTTATGATAAAAATGAGAATTATGAATGGACTTCATGGATTATGGGATAGAAGTCAATATTAGGATTTCAGATTGTTTTAATTCTCCAGCTGGATCAGGAATTTCTCTGCAGAGTCTCTCCCTTTTCCCCCAATGACTCTGATGTGGTTTTGCTCCACTTTCAGAATGGATTTTGCTGGCAGGTTTTGCTCACCTGATGGATCAATTTGGGTTTTTTTTTTAATACAAATTGGCACCACAGTGCTGTTCACTGGAATAGCTCATCACACAGCAAGCAGCATTTCTTCATTTCTTCATTTCATTTCTTCATTTCTTCATTTCATTTCTTCATTTCCAGTGCCCTCTTTGTTTTGTTAATTAGTGTGATGTACTCTGAGTCCTTCATTTCTTTTTGATTATCAGCAGCTTTTGTTGTTTAGAACCACCTTTGCTGTTTGCTCTGAGTCCAGAAATCTGGGTAATTTCAATACAAGAAAAATATTTCATTTTTTTCCCCCTGTCTGTTCCTTAASTCATTCCTGTAACAGAAATGGGCATTAATAATAAGATCATTTATTTAACCAAGTACATGCATTAATAAGATGAAATCTCTTTGAACTATGGTTAGTTTTTAATCTTTGAATTAGATTAAAAAGAATATTAGAAATAATAATAWCAGAAATATTAGAATTTTTACCATAAATTTGAATAGAAATTGAATAATTTGAACTAATGGTGGAATTAAGTGGTGACATTTCAATGTTAAATATGATGATCTGGTATATTACAGTAGATATTTTCACTTTTTTTTTATGAAGGGTAGGATTTTTATGAGCAGTAATTCAGAAAAATATGACTCAATGGAATCCTTCTCTATGAGACAATTGACACTGACATTGTTTTTTCCCCTTCTGATCCTGTTTCTGGAATCTGGAAGCTTTATAATTTTTTTTTTTTTATTTTTTCCCTTAGTTTCAGCCCAGACTCTGAAGAGCAACCTCGATTCAATGAACCAGCAGATCCAACGCCTGGAGAAGGACATTGAGAATTTCCCTAAAACCCAGGATGAACACGATAAGTTTGTGGAAAAGATGAGCATATCCTTTTTGCACATCCTCACTGGGGAGCTGAACGTTCTGATTTTCTGTTTAAGTATTTACAGCACTTGAAAATTGCTTTAAATCTCTTCTTTTATGTGTTTATTCTAGAGCAGAGCAAAAAGCATCAGAGAATGTGGTGAAAGGAAGAAAACAWATGAGTAGAACTGAAAGCTCTAGAATAATCAGATTATATAATAATTATTATATTTTTATATACCCTTTAACATTATAGTAATTATAAGTTATTTGTGGTCATATTAATAATATTAATTAATGCATAATTATATTATATTATTATATCATTAAAAAAATCAGAATTTCAAGGGGGAAACCAGACAGCTTTCTTGAAGGAAGTTATTACAATGACCAGCCTTAAATTTATTACGAGGATTTGTTTTTTCTCTGAAMGTATTGTCGAATCAATTTTAGAAAAATGCCAGCAGTGAAGTTGTTACATTTGTGATTTTAGCTTTGGATGGGGAGTTTTTTGAAGGGCAGAGCATTAATTTTGTTAGTGGTTTTAGGTTACATTCTTAACATAATTTTAGAGAAATATTTACATTTCTTTCACTCAAAAGTGTTATGCCCTTTAATTTCTGTAGAGAGCAGAGACTGTAGATTCTTAAAGCACTACCAAGTAGAATCAGGGGGACTGTAATTTCTGTGGAGCTTTTGTGTATCCAGCTCTAATTTTGTTCAAAGGTATAAAGTAATGAGTGTACTGTACATACAAGAAGCTCACAAAAATGCGACATGGACTAAGAAAAATGCTCTTTTTTTTTTTTTTTTTTTTTTTTTATGTGACACTATAATTTCAGATATTATACTTCAGAGGCTCAACAAAGCTTGCAAGCCTCTGCAAGGAGCCATGTATTCTCATTCAGAATTTGAAAGGAATTCCCAGGTTTTTATTGCATAAATCAAATTTCTGGTTGTATTTATGGGAGCATTTGGAGTGGGGTGCTTGGCCAGGTCCGAGGCATTTTGTGCATTCACAGATGCTCAGATAGTCCCTGGGACAGCTCTTCTTTTTGCTATGGCAGAAATCATAATTTTGGGGTTTTTCAGAGGAAAGAAGGAGGAGGGGATTGATGTTCAGAGCCATTCACAGCTGCTCATCACATTTAGTGGGTGGATGGAATGAAGAGCTTCTCCCAGCTGCTGTGTCTTTGGAAAKTCAGGTTTTTGCAGGATTTACCATCTCAATGCATTCAGTGACAGAACTGTACAAGAAGATGTTTAATATCTTCTCTGCATGGATTTATTTTAACTTTGACAGGACYGCAGGAAAGTAGCTTAAGGGAGACAACTCCTGCCTAAGTGGAAAATTGTTTCTTATTCCTTCCATCTTGCCTTTCACCTTGTCTTACTGCAGGGSTAAGAGACTTGCTGCTGGTAATCACAGTTATCAGTCCTGCTATTAAACAAAGCTCTTTATTTCCCTGAGATTCATTCACACAGAAAAAACTTCCAGGACTGCCTTGTACCTGTCCTTCGCCTTGTCACCCCGTGCAGAGGCTGAATTTTGTCACATCTCTTCAGAAATTAAATCCATTTATTAAATGCACCTTTACCACTGGTTTTTTCTTGTGGAGCTTGGCAGCTCTGCTTTACAGGTTAAGGAATACAATTCAGTTGTATTTTCATTTTGCTCACTATGTATTTCTTTCTAGAAATGCTTGGCATCACTCGAATGGTTTGATGAGAAAAGAGCCAAGTAGATAATATTTAATTTTTTTTTTTTTCTGTCTGCAGCTGATCAGCTGAATTTCTTAGAGAAGAAGGATTGTCTGACAATGCAAAGGTGTTTTAAAAAATGTACTAATGCTTCTTTGTTTGGAARAATAGGAGAATCCCCTGAAATGTTTGAAAATGGATTTTCCTGGGCAGCCTGGCTGCAGTGCATTGATTCACAGGAGAATTCCCAACCAATTCTGRTGATTGCACCAAACCCCCTGACTTTTATCAGCCCTGGGATTTGGGGGCTTGGCAAGAGATAAATCTGTGAGCAAAGAGCTGATTCCACCTGAGCATTCACGTTTGCATAATTAATAGATGACCTGATAGGGGCTGGCTTTCTTTTTTACAAAGTCATCTCTGGTTCCATCAAATGATCAAGTTTGTTTCTGCTTATCACCGAATATGTGAAAGTTTTCTGCACTCTCATATTTCTCATTAGATTGGAGAATATTTTTAAGGGTGTAAAAATGACACCCTCGTCTTCAGCATGGATTTCTTTGATTTTGTCAGCTGCCTGGAGATTTGTTGTTGATGGCACATCCTGAGATTAGAAAGTTACAGAATTTCACTCAACATCTCTGTGAGTGTTGCAGAAAATTTGAGAGGTGTCTCAGTAGAGATTTTTAGGATGCAGGAATTATAATATTTGAGGTTTGTCCTACTGCTCTTTAGCAGTAGCTGTGGATGGGACTTTCTGAGAGGATGTGAGATGTGTCATATTGGTGTAGGGGATCAGGGACAAGGAAAATATAATTCATAATATTAATTTGTAATAATAAAACTAATATTCATGATACAGAAGCAAATTCTGTGAAAGAATTTAGTAATTTTAGTATTTTTAACTTCTAACAAATAAGTTTTTGATACTGTGAGTGACAAAAAGATGAATAGAAATTGTACCTATGTTTTCATTTTGGATTTTTTTTCTTGGCCAGTTTCTAAGCAAGCTGATTTTTCATTTCATTTAATCAGTTTTTTTTATTTAGCAGATACAGTTATTCATCTCAGTGCACACTACTTGATGTAAATSTGGAATGATTTAAAATAACTTAAAGCTAATTTAGGAATTAAAGACAATGATGTCTTGGCTACCAGAAATAGTTGATTCCAAAACGAAGGTTACAGCTCAAAATAGAGGGTAGAATGGCTGAAGAAGAAAAAAAAAAATCTTTCTGTGGATTTCTTGCTGTATTAAAGAACTTATGTGAGATTCCTGAGACAACTTTTTAATGATCTGATCTGTGGCTGGAATTTTGTTTTACTTGAAGACCAATTGGTAAATAATTCAGCTGTAAATGTGAGAAGTTTCTTTTATAATTAGTTCTGCTGCATGCAGCACTGGGGAGTCTGATTCAACAGTTTAGAAAAGTAATTACAGACTTTGCCAGCTCTGGCTTTCACTCCTGGTTTTATTTCAGTGTTTGTGCCTCTAATTGCAGATCTTTTTTTAAAGAGCAGAGCTCTGAATTTGATATTTTTTTGCTGTAGGTGCACGCACTGGTTTCTCTTCAGTGATGTTAAAATTTGAGTGTCTGGTTGGGGATTGAGCAAAGTATTCAGATTAATGGAGTTCAAATGTAAATGTTATTAACAAAGATTAAAAACAACAGAASCAAAAGCAATTTCAGAGGGAAGGAATGGGAAGTTGTACAGAGTTAACATAAATATTGATTTAGAACTATAAATACATGAATAATAAATGCTTCTGTCCCCCTTTAACACACACACTCTCTGTGACAAAAGTTTATTCCTCTAGAAAATAAAAAGGAGCTTGGAAGATTGTTCCAAGGGGAAGGGAGAAGGGGAAAGAAGGGCACAAATTTGGTCCCTGGGTTTGTGCTTTTTGTTGTCCTGCTGCCTGGGGAAGAACAGCTTTGGCTGTAAATATTTCATAAAAAACCTTACATGAATTTATTCATGTGTGTCCTGCATGTACTGATGTGTCCTGAACTGAGATTTTCCATGGCTTTTCTGATTTTCAGCTGTTTCATTTCCCCTAATAACARACATTAACGTGCCTCAACTTATTACAATCTTTTGCCTGGCAGAGCACTAAATGCTGCCACGTGGGTTTGCTAACTGCTTGCATACATGTGAAGAATTAAAAGCTTATTTTTAAAGAATTGCAAAATTAAGGGAAGGATGAATGAAAGAGCAAAAATTACTGCAGATAAAAAAAAAAAAAAATTCAAAGCACTGTGCATTCATCTTATCATTAAATGGAACGGCAGCAATTTGTGAACTAATTTTAATTTCCAGTAAGGAACACCATTCATTAGAACAGAATCCTTTTTATGAAATAAAAAAGCTGCCTTCCTGAAAGGCATGGATCCTCTCTTGATATGCATTTATGCTCCTGTTCTGTCTAACAACCATCACAGCTCAACACGAGGGGCTGATTTCCTCACTTGATGTGCTTCAGAAACAAACTGGGATGAGGCTTTGTGGGTGGGGGAACAGTGGGAACATTGGGTGTTTCATGTGTCTTAATTTCTACAGGAAAATACAGAAAAGATCCTAATTTGCTCATAAATACAGGATTTTTACTAATAACCCCACAGGAGAAATATTTCTAGGAGCTTTTGTGTTTGTCCCTATATTTGAAGTATCTCCTGCCTGAATGTGTTTAAATGTTTTTTTTTTTAATGTGGAGGCATTTCTCAGTGCTTGGGGAGCGGAACAGAGAACCATTCAAAGATTTTTCAAATTCCAGCTCATGTGTAAATCTTAGAAGAGTTTAAAGTATCTTCCTTTTCTTGCAATATTTATATAAAGTTTTATTTCTTGCTGTTGACAAAAAGACATTTGAAAACAGTTCAATTTGCAAGTGCAGCTCTTGATTAAAGGAGATATTTTGGTGAAATTATGTGTATTTATCCATATAAAATACTTTTCCTAAGTATTGTGTAGGTAGAGAAGTCTGCCTTCCTGCCTTGAGATGGGGCAGGGCTTTGATTTTTTATATTTTAAGTTGCAGTTACGTCCTAGAAATTTTCAGAGGGTTTTTCTTACTCATTGAGCATTTGTTCACAGTTATTCCTCCTGCTCCCAGTTCCAAACCAACTCTGAGGGGCAGGAAGCAGAAAGTTTCACCTGTTCCAGATTAAACAATGATGAAATTGTTGAAACTTTAAAATTTGCTTAACATTAATAAATTATAATGAGCATCCAGCAGTAATAATAATGCAGGAGGGTATTTCTCCTATTTGGCATTGRTGATTTAAGACTTTTTTTGTTTTTGTAGTTGTTTGCATTTAA